TAAGAATGCTCCAAGCACATTAAAATATATAAAATACTGGATGAGGTGCAGTCAAAACAGATGGGTTTTCACTCTGCAATTCAATATGTTGTCTAAGCACTTCAAAGTCATTTAACAAGTGACCTGGGTAGTGGTTTATCATAACATATCTGCAGGAACAACTAAGTCAAACACAATTCTATTTCACTTGCATAGCCTTTTAGATAAACTCAGCTCAACAGACATCGTCAAATTATGAGTACCAAGTAAGCGTGTCAGTGAAACACAAACTACGACAGATAGCAGCGCCTTCAATTACCTCTGAAGCACTTTAGCTCTGTACTAAAAATGGTAACAAGAGAAGAGGGGTCGTATTTCCTGCTGTCAAGATATCTTTAGAGCGGGACATCCCGGAGGAATGCCAGTGTGTGTGTGTGTGTGTGTGTGTGTGTGTGTGCGGCAAGAGAGACAGCTGAGAAAGAAATGATTAAGCAAAGTCTGGACATAAGACTCCCTCACAGCCTTTTCACGAGGACTCACTCCTTCAGTGATGACAGCAGCATGTAAGAAGTGGCTTGTATCTGCTGCAGGACTACAGTCATCACACTCAAGAACACCGCATTGAAGATTATTCCCGCCTATGGTGTGTCATTCTTTGCCTCAGAGGACATCCGTGTTAACTAATCCATGTTGGCGGGCATCCAGCTTTAGGGTCCAGTCCAAAAAAACAACAATTGTGATTTAGAAAAATATGACATAAGCTTCTGCAGATACATTTCGGACCTTGAGATTAGTAACCTCTGGTCATAACCACACAGATGTCTCACAGATGTTGTGTACAGCTGCAGATGGAGAAGAAAAGCCAGAAAAGATCCTAAATATAATCCTCTTGTCATAGTCTGAACAGAAACTACTTGAATCCATAAGAATGGAACTACAAGGGACAATGGAAACATGTTTACCCTACTATCTACAGTACTGGTAGTTGTAGATCCTACTCTTGTCCAGTCACCATCTAGTTAACATTTAGTACACGAGACACTCATTGTTTTCAAACCTGTTAAACTTTTCTATGGGGCACAGTCATTTATTTTAATTCAAATAAAAAGAAAAACAAAGTAAACCTTCAGAAATGATTAAAAAGTGAATAATGGCAAATTCTAGAGATACTCAAAAGGTTTGCTATTCTAGTTGACTTGCTGATCTTTGCTCAGACGAGTTCAAGCCAGTCCTGTTGTGCATTAAAGGTCCTGTGTGTAGTCCAGTTGGTATCCAGAGATTATCCACTACCCAGATAGCATTAGAGGGATTATTCGGTCGCTCTGTGCCAACACGTCTATTCTGTTAATGAGGACACGGAGAGCGGCAGCATGGACACGGGTCACCGGCTGATAATAACAGGGACGCACACTGGGTTCAGTCCACCTGAGGGACCAGATGTCTCGTGTTTTTATCAATCTACAAACTGCTTTTACTTTCTTATTCATGTCCAAAAACGGACTGAAATGTCTTCTTCAATTCTAATCACTATTGGCCTCATTTTTTGAGGTAACTCTATAAGTGTAATTTAATTATCGGTAAATGTTACACACAGAACCTTTAATAATTTGCACAAAAGCCGACACCAGAAACAAACTTGCTGCTAGATAATATTTATCGAATAGCATATTTTTACTAATTACAAAGTTGTTCCTATTCTCTTTCACTTAAAGTGAGTTAATCATCTGGGTCATTGAGTGTATCTGAGTCTGTATCTGTACACACACACACACACACACACACACACACACACACACACACACACACACACACACACACACACACACACACACACACACACACACACACACACACACACACACACACACACACACACACACACACACACACACACACACACACACACACACACACACACACACCACACACACACACACACACACACACACACACACACCACACACACACACACACACACACACACACACACACACACACACACACACACACACACACACACACACACACACACACACACACACACACACACACACACACACACACACACACACACACACACACACACACACACACACACACACACACACACACACACACACACAATGGTGTAGGACAATCCCGTATCTCAGTGTGTGGAACAGCCTCCCAACTGAGATACGGGGTTGTCCCACTCTCAATAGCTTCAAAGGTCAGAGAATGGTTGAGAAACAAAGAGACGTGCGATCACCGCTAATGCACTTTAACACCGGGGCACCTCCTCTTGCACTTTAGGTAGCTCTTGCATCCTCTCTTGCACTTTAGGTAGCTCTTGCATCCTCTCTTGCACTTTAGGTAGCTCTTGCATCCTCTCTTGCACTTTAGGTAGCTCTTGCATCCTCTCTTGCACTTTAGGTAGCTCTTGCATCCTCTCTTGCACTTTACATGTCGTTGCTGCTACATTCTATTACCATGTCATGTCGTGTGTGCTCTCTTGGTCTCTTGCTCTTTTTGCATATCATGTATTTTGTTTTTGCTATGTTTGTAAAATGTAATCTTCTTAAATGTTTTATGTGAGCGACTGCGGATGGAAATGAGCTCAAAGCTAAATCTGGCACTGTTACGCTCCATACATTTGAATGTTTTAAGCGTTCATTACTGTGCATTGTCCCTGCCAAACAAACCATTAAATGAAAAAAATGTGAAATCTGAAAGTATAGTGACTGTAACAGACATATGGTTCACGTGTGTTCAGTATGTTCAGTTGTGTCTGTGTCGTTGTGTTTGTTTGTGTGCACACATCGTCTCTCTCTCAAGAACAACATTATGGGATGTTGTTGCTGCCGGCCAAGCGGGTCACTAATGACCACATGGCCAATTAGTGAAGCTAGACAACGAGCAGATTCCCTCCTCCACAGCCGCGAACACAACAAGCATTCATCGGAATCACTGAGAGGAAAACTATGAGGGGAATCTGGGCTGAGGGGCGGCGGCAGCAGATGTGCATCATGTGGGAAGCTTTTCTATCTGCACATATTTCTCCTTCACCGAGTGCTGTCTTTTCTGCTGCTTCTCAAATGATACTGCTCAATACATTATTCTATTCATAGTTTAGTCTCTAAATGAGAACATTTGGAAAGATCTTTTCAGAGCTTGGTTTGTCCAACACTCAGAAAACTACAGAAAGTAAATCCACAGTAAATCAAATCAGGGAAAGAAGTAAAGTCTCACGATGAGGAAGCAACATGCGGCAAATACTTCGGTGTTTTTGCCTGATATCAAATGTACTGATTATCCATCATTATATTGTTGTTAATCACAGATGTTATTTGATTAGTCGACTCACTTGTAAATCAGAATGTTTGGTTTATTCCGGGGACATTGGGTTTTGTGACAGTTGCTCCAATATGAATACGATAAAGAAAGATAACTAACAACATTTTTTTAAAGTACAACTATTTGTATACACATAAATTAGAATGATTGAAAATGTAAAAAATATATATCTTGTATTACAATATATATATTTAAGCAATAGCTCACGACAGGCCGTGGTGTATGCATTGTTCATTATATCACAGCTAAGGGGCGTGGCTCTGCAACATGCAAGCAGTTTGCTTTTCAGCCCAACTGTATACAGCTTTTCTCAGACGCGGAGGGATACTGACTTGTTGTGAAAAGTGACTACAATTCTACCCGTGGTATATGCTCAGTATATCACGGCTAAGAACCAATCAGATTGCTTGATTTGACTTGACTTAGTGGTGTATTACCGTTGATAACATACCAATGCTGTGATATAATGGACTCAGCAGCTTGTTTTTTTACGTTTTACTCAAGGTAACAAACTTGAATGTTCAGGCAAACTTTTCTTTAGCTGGTTGTCGGGCGAAGATTTAAGTTTGAGTCACATTACGCTGAAGTTACTGTAACTGATATACGGAACATTCTCTGTGCATTTCAATTCAACAAGGCAGCCAGAGGTCAGAGGCCAGAGGTCAGAGGTCAGGAACAGCTGTTCAGCAAAACACCCCTGGAGCGGCTTGGTCTTACTCATGGACACTACAGGGATGTGTGTGTGTGTGTGTGTGAGGCAGGAGTCACACTGAGTCAGTCACACACTGTCTGTGAATATTTTAAAAGGCAGAACCAACATCACACGACGGGGCAGGCAGCTCCATTTAGCACATCATGGTAATGTGATGCATGGCAGAGAGTACGAGTGTGCACCTGAGAGCGTGTCATAAAGCGTGAAATGTAAAGTTTACATTCTCACGAACACCAGAACAGAACAACACCAAGAGAGACGAGAACAGCTGGAGGTAGCAATATAATCCCATGCAGTTAGTTTGCTAATCAATCAAAGCACATTGGATAACAGCAGATACGTTTGACAGATCGATGATCCGGGGCGTCGACAGCAAAGTGATGTCTTCATCTTCTTAATGAACTCATTGACTCATGTACCAATTAAAGCATGTATGCTTGTCTCAGCTCCGCCACTATGACAACGTGCTACTACTCTGCATACAGTATATTTATAAAATGAATACAGAGGGTTTGGATTAGAAAAATATAAAGCATTAGAAAATGTGACTTGTGGTTATGAAACATGTGCGGAGAACTTCTAGCGGCGAGAGACATGTGTGATGAAAACATCTCAGACACAACTAAAGCCAGCTCCATGATACAGCCCGCAGCAGGATCTCTAAGGCCTACAGGAAGAACACTGAGAGCCTCTCACACTCATCCATTACCCCAGCAGAGCACAACAGGGCTGTTTACAACTCTAACAAGTGAAGGGACCTTTGGAGTCCTTCATAGTGCAGGAGCCACAGGGACCCTGCAGGGAAACCCTTCATAAAGACTCTATTAACACTGAATGAACCACAAGCATATTTCTGCTGCTGTTATGACAACATATTCCAAACAGAGGCAAACTTCACTAAGAACCATGACCACAGGTAGGTTCAAATGTCACCTCTGCTGTATTCTAACAAGGCCGTAGCAAAAAGTGATCTTACCTTGGGAAGGTATGCAGCATTTTGTATCCTGTCCACCATCTCGTGGCCCTCAGGGTGCACCGCGGCCACATGGGACCACATCCTCTCCCAGGTTACACTCTCAATGGGGAAACCAGTCCTGTTCACGTAGAAAAGAACCCCTCCATCCTTCTCCTCTTCCTCCCCAGGGGACCGGGAGCTGTTATTGGGGGGGGAGGCGGAGGGGTCCACCTGGGTGCTGCAGCGGAGCAGGCAGTGAGAGCTGGAGCTTTTTGAGCGGCCATGCCTGCTCAGCTTGGCTGGAGAGGTGCCGGCCCGGCTCGGGGAGTTGGGTCCGGTCATTGATCCCAGGAGGAGGAGGGAAGGTTAGGCAGGCTGTCCTCCTCCAGCTACAAGAGCTTCTTCTTGTCTGTCACAGTTGGACAGTTCATGTTCATCTTCCACAGCAAACCTAGCAGGGTAAAAAAGACAACCGTACCGTAACTAAGTTAGCAATCTTAAACCAGATTTAAATGCAGTTCAAATGTCAATACTCCTTTCCAGGTGCATTTTTAGAACCTTATTACAAAAGATCAGTCCAGATATGTCCATAAAGGTGTGGTGATGTTTTTCATAAGGTGCTTTACTCATGGTAGTTACCAACCAAGAAGATATGTGTCTTTCCTATCTATAAAAAGAGAACGGATGGTGCTACAGTGGAGAATGAAGCCTTGTCAAAATGATTTGTTATCCGGTTACAGATGAGAAATCCTCCCCGATGTAGAAGCATTGACCCAATAAGGATTTATGTCATAAACCAAACCCTTCGCTACATGTTGAAAGCAAAAGCTAAATAGTGAGTAGAGAAGTCATGTCCAAAATGACCCTAGGAACACCATGTACCAACTCTGCACATTATGATGAACAAAAACCCGACATGTTGATAAAGCAACACTGTGATTCACACAAGTTGCCAAGAGAGATGTAAAGAAAGGAACTACATACCTTTATAAAAAGCGAACAAATGAAGGAATCAATTCAGGAGTATCAAATACTTATGCTAGTTTAAATGACATTAAACTAAAGGCAAACACAAAACTTATAATAGAAGGACAATGTTTTCAAAACTAAATAATGAGTAACGTTACCATAGCCACAAGTGAATAACAAAGACAAACATGTTCGTAGGAATATAAAGTTGTTATTAAAGCATAAATATGAAAGCTTAATCCAACAAATAGTGTAGATATGTCCAAAATGACCCCAAGGAACACACTTTGCACATGATGAAAACAACCTACTACACATGATAAAGCAACACTGTGGTTCACACAAGTTACATAGAGTAACAAAGGTGTAAATACACGAATAAGTCAACGAATATTATTATAAAATCAACAAGAAAATGGAGTATCAAACACATGCTTTTTAATGTATCTATATTAGATTGAAAGAACAACTTTCAACAGGAGAGAAACATGTTTTCTAATGAGTTGCGTTACCATAGGCACACGTGAGTAACAGAAACAGACATTTTCTTTTACCGTTATTCGCCGAAATATTACTAATTCAAACGTACCGTATTTTCCCCTGGGGCTCCGATTTCAGATAATCCACAGTCCCTCCGGTTTAAAAGGCATTTTATCCGAATAACAATCAGTGAAGCAAAGTATGTCCCATTCATTCCAAAGCGACAGGATGTAAAGTCTTGTTTTGGTCCAAGGCTTTGTAACTTCACTCCTGCTTGTTTGTGTCAAGCTAGCAGAAGCTAACAACCGTTGGGCTAGGAATACGGCAAAGTCCACTTCAAAATAAAAGCGGTATGTTTTCCGATCACGCTTATTTCAAGAAAGAATACTACGGAGCGTTGCAGAATACTCATACACATTTCATGTATTTGTTTATAAGAGGTTTACATGTATGAATACATGTTTCAAGCCCAGAATGTAATCCAAGTAAACCCTGTTCTCGTCAGTTTGTCTTATTTTGAAAATACCATCCAGTAGTTCTTCTGTTTCGCTAGCTAGCTAACAACACTGCGGGGGCCGTTGCCTCCCACCTCCCCATTCCGGGGGAAATGACCTCCTCTCTGCATTCCTCCCGTTAGCAGCCTCGGTATCTACCTCCAAAGAACATCAGGTTGCATGTTGTTGATTAAACAAAAGCTTCTTCAATCCCTCACATGATTAAATAATTGGGGATAACACGGACCTACTAGGTACCTTCTGTTCTTCCTCTATCTCTCTCTGTTGCTCGTATCCCCAAAACCACGAACGTTCGGCGGCTCCTCATTGGTGGAGCTGACAAAGAGGGGCGGGCTTTGTGTTACACTCGACGCTAATTGGAACCGACGACGCTCTCTGATTGGTTCGTTTTGATGGACGAAGGCGTCAACAAGTGATTTATCTGCAACAAATGGGATTTTCTGCCCCTTGTTGCATCTGTTGATTTTTTTTCACATTTTCACATTTTTTACATTTCACAGGTTACTTTTAGAAATATAATACAAATTATATATAATAAGTAATCAACATTATATATATTACCATAGAGTCATTGTTAAAGCAAAAGTCAACCCACATATCCCACAAAATAAAGATATAACATTTGTTTTAATGTAATTTCATAAATAATATTAACTACTTGAGAGTATATGGGGAGAACATGTTTACTTATCTGCATATACAAGCAATTACAGGTGAAACATGCTTTTAAAAGTCACAAATAAATGAAAATATCTCTTGATTCTTGAACTAAAAGGCAACAGGTGTATAATTTGAAGGACAATTCTGTTGCGGAAAGCAAGTATTGGACATCATTTCAATACTGCAATTAATGGTTCAACATTTGACTCACATTTTGTTTGTTTTTTGTTTGTTTATTTAAAGGACAGTGCACATTAATCCACATTGCTGTAAATGAGCCAGTATTAGCCAGCAGGCTAATTTTCAACTGTTGTCCTTGGCAAGATGTTAAATGACCACAACAAGACTAGAAAATAAAAACATAATTAAATAGAGTTCAGCAGACAACATCAGTACAACAATAAATAGGAACAGCAGTACAACAATAGAGAGGAACACACAACCATGCAAACAGATGAAATATCATCATACCTTGATACAGTTAAAAGTGTTCACATTTTTGATTGTTTAAAAGCCAGTTCTTATGATTGCGGTTAAATGTATGATAGGAGGTGTTATTCCTTATCTGTATTGGTATTGTGTTCCAGAGTGTAGGTGCCCTCACAGAGAAACAGTGTTTGCCAAAGGAACTGGACCTTGTGGTTCTGCTGTTTCAATGTTTCTGCTGTATAAAAGTGCAGAGCGGTGGGGGTGCCTTGCCGTTTAGAATTCTAAAAATGAGACATGCATCAGTGTGTTTTAATATATTTTCCCAGCTGAGCAGGTTATGTTTGTCCAGCAATTTGCAATGGTGGTATAGCTTTGGTTTTCTGTCCAACACTTTGAGAGCTTGTTTGTGAAGTGACAGGATAGGCCTTAATGTTGTGCTATTCGCCTGGGTCCAGCTGCTCATATACAGTATGTTAGGTGGGGAAGGATCATGGCAGTCATATAGAGTTTTGCTACAGGTGTTGTCAAACAGTTCCTTATATATCTAAAGTTTGCTAAATTGTATTTAGTTATTTGCGTTATTTCTCACTTGTTTTTTGAAGGATAAAGTAGTGTCAAGGATAATGCCTAGATATTTGAAATGTGTAACCATTTGAATGACCTCCCCAGACACATAGACCTTGGGTTCACCGTGTGATACAGTGTTGGTCTTGCTAAAAAACATACAGACTGTCTTCTTAACATTCAGATATAGCTGTGAGTCAGTAAGCCATTGATTTACATGAACCATTGCATCATTTAATTTGGCCGCAGCTTGGGCCTTGGTTTTTGCATGGACATAAATAACATTGTGGTACATATCCCATGGTTAACTTAGCGGACAACCCCCCCTTCTGGACAAAACTGTTTTTACAGCACAGAAAAAAGGACACATACTAAGTTAGAGTATAAGCATTGGATATAAAATACTGAATAAGATTTGGAGGCATTGACAATTTCCCCACAATATAATAAGAATAAAAGCTGACTTTTCATAAATTTTATGATCTTTAGTTGTATTATGTTGTGGGTTTGTTGACTGTTAGAAGGTATCAGCATCAGAGGGGGGAGCTTTCACCGTGCTGTAGGTCACTTGATCTTCACCGACCGGAAGCTAGAGGATGTAAAAGAAAAAGAGAACACACATTACAAAACAGGACATTACACACAACATGATGAAAGAAAACAACAACGTCTAATGAGGAAATAGTCACAAAGAAACCCAAAAAAAAATTCTAATAATTCTGTAGGTTTTAGGGGAAATTAGAGACTTTTTTAACATTAAAAAACATTACTTTCTATACCAACACGACTACAGACAGCTTACCTGATCTTGACTGTTGGTATTCTTGGTGTGGCTGATGGAGGCGTAGAAAACACCATCTTCAGGTTCAGCCTACACAGAGAGGACAACATCATGATTGATATTTACAGGTGGATTTGAAGGACTCACACTCACAAGAATATTCCAGTCTATTTGATCACACTCACCATTTAAAGAGGACATATAATGCCCATCTTTAGGTTCATATCAGTATGTAGTGTCTCTACTTTAAAGAGTCCTCTCCTGCTGATGTTCAGGTGTATATCAGTATGTAGTGTCTCTACTTTAAAGAGTCCTCTCCTGCTGATGTTCAGGTGTATATCAGTATGTAGTGTCTCTACTTTAAAGAGTCCTCTCCTGCTGATGTTCAGGTGTATATCAGTATGTAGTGTCTCTACTTTAAAGAGTCCTCTCCTGCTGATGTTCAGGTGTATATCAATATGGAGTGTCTCTACTTTAAAGAGTCCTCTCCTGCTGATGTTCAGGTGTATATCAGTATGTATTGTCTCTACTTTAAAGAGTCCTCTCCTGCTGATGTTCAGGTGTATATCAGTATGTAGTGTCTCTACTTTAAAGAGTCCTCTCCTGCTGATGTTCAGGTGTATATCAGTATGTAGTGTCTCTACTTTAAAGAGTCCTCTCCTGCTGATGTTCAGGTGTATATCAGTATGTAGTGTCTCTACTTTAAAGAGTCCTCTCCTGCTGATGTTCAGGTGTATATCAGTATGTAGTGTGTCTACTTTAAAGAGTCCTCTCCTGCTGAAGTTCAGGTGTATATCAGTATGTAGTGTCTCTACTTTAAAGAGTCCTCTCCTGCTGATGTTCAGGTGTATATATGTAGTGTCTCTACTTTAAAGAGTCCTCTCCTGCTGATGTTCAGGTGTATATCAGTATGTAGTGTCTCTTACTTTAAAGAGTCCTCTCCTGCTGATGTTCAGGTGTATATCAGTATGTAGTGTCTCTACTTTAAAGAGTCCTCTCCTGCTGATGTTCAGGTGTATATCAGTATGTAGTGTCTCTACTTTAAAGAGTCCTCTCCTGCTGATGTTCAGTTGTATATCAGTATGTAGTGTGTCTACTTTAAAGAGTCCTCTCCTGCTGAAGTTCAGGTGTATATCAGTATGTAGTGTCTCTACTTTAAAGAGTCCTCTCCTGCTGATGTTCAGGTGTATATATGTAGTGTCTCTACTTTGAAGAGTCCTCTCCTGCTGATGTTCAGGTGTATATATGTAGTGTCTCTACTTTAAAGAGTCCTCTCCTGCTGATGTTCAGGTGTATATCAGTATGTAGTGTCTCTACTTTAAAGAGTCCTCTCCTGCTGATGTTCAGGTGTATATCAGTATGTAGTGTCTCTACTTTGAAGAGTCCTCTCCTACTGGTGTTCAGGTGTATATCAGTATGTAGTGTCTCTACTTTAAAGAGTCCTCTCCTGCTGATGTTCAGGTGTATATCAGTATGTAGTGTCTCTACTTTAAAGAGTCCTCTCCTGCTGATGTTCAGGTGTATATCAGTATGTAGTGTCTCTACTTTAAAGAGTCCTCTCCTGCTGATGTTCAGGTGTATATATGTAGTGTCTCTACTTTAAAGAGTCCTCTCCTGCTGATGTTCAGGTGTATATCAGTATGTAGTGTCTCTTACTTTAAAGAGTCCTCTCCTGCTGATGTTCAGGTGTATATCAGTATGTAGTGTCTCTTACTTTAAAGAGTCCTCTCCTGCTGATGTTCAGGTGTATATCAGTATATAGTGTCTCTACTTTAAAGAGTCCTCTCCTGCTGATGTTCAGGTGTATATCAGTATGTAGTGTGTCTACTTTAAAGAGTCCTCTCCTGCTGAAGTTCAGGTGTATATCAGTATGTAGTGTCTCTACTTTAAAGAGTCCTCTCCTGCTGATGTTCAGGTGTATATATGTAGTGTCTCTACTTTAAAGAGTCCTCTCCTGCTGATGTTCAGGTGTATATATGTAGTGTCTCTACTTTAAAGAGTCCTCTCCTGCTGATGTTCAGGTGTATATCAGTATGTAGTGTCTCTACTTTAAAGAGTCCTCTCCTGCTGATGTTCAGGTGTATATCAGTATGTAGTGTCTCTACTTTAAAGAGTCCTCTTCTGCTGATGTTCAGGTGTATTTCAGTATGTAGTGTCTCTACTTTAAAGAGTCCTCTCCTGCTGATGTTCAGGTGTATATCAATATGTAGTGTCTCTACTTTAAAGAGTCCTCTCCTGCTGATGTTCAGGTGTGTATCAGTATGTAGTGTCTCTACTTTAAAGAGTCCTCTCCTGCTGGTTGTAGAGGAAACTTCTGTGTAGCATGCAATGGAGTCACCGACTCAGGAAGGAGACACGGGAAGAGTCGGAGCTTTGATGTCAAACCACTGTGATTTATTTGGAGTTGGTACCAGAGTATTCACATCACAAATCCAAGAGTCAGAGGTTCTGACTTCACGGTAGAGTTGCCACGTCAATTCTGGAGAGCCTCTCTCTTGCCAGCCCATCTAACTGGTTTCGCAGAGATTAAACAACATATTTGAGAAGATAGCCTAAACAGTGTGGGAACACTGAGCTACTTGCGTCGGACACTTATGACCTCGAAGATTTCACCTTGGAGTCCACAAATACAGAGAAGGAAGTGTCCCAGTGTACCCACAACACAGACCATCTGTATCCCAGTATTGACCGGTCACAGAATGGGAACAATAATATTATTGGCTAAGCCGCCTGTGTCCTTAAAGAAGGTAAACAGACATCAAGGTTTGTCCTGTATGTTACAAATTGGCGTCTATGATAATTATTTCCATAACACTGGTAGTGTCTCTACTTTAAAGAGTCCTCTCCTGCTTATGTTCAGGTGTATATCAGTATGTAGTGTCTCTACTTTAAAGAGTCCTCTCCTGCTGATGTTCAGGTGTATATCAGTATGTAGTGTCTCTACTTTAAAGAGTCCTCTCCTGCTGATGTTCAGGTGTATATCAGTATGTTGTGTCTCTACTTTAAAGAGTCCTCTCCTGCTGATGTTCAGGTGTATATCAGTATGTAGTGTCTCTACTTTAAAGAGTCCTCTCCTGCTGATGTTCAGGTGTATATCAGTATGTAGTGTCTCTACTTTAAAGAGTCCTCTCCTGCTGATGTTCAGGTGTATATCAGTATGTAGTGTCTCTACTTTAAAGAGTCCTCTCCTGCTGATGTTCAGGTGTATATCAGTATGTAGTGTCTCTACTTTAAAGAGTCCTCTCCTGCTGATGTTCAGGTGTATATCAGTATGTAGTGTCTCTACTTTAAAGAGTCCTCTCCTGCTGATGTTCAGGTGTATATCAGTATGTAGTGTCTCTACTTTAAAGAGTCCTCTCCTGCTGATGTTCAGGTGTATATCAGTATGTAGTGTCTCTACTTTAAAAAGTCCTCTCCTGCTGATGTTCAGGTGTATATCAGTATGTAGTGTCTCTACATGTCTCCATGCTTTAATGTTCAAAAAGCTCTTTATTTTTCTCACACTGTCTGTGCTGCAACACCTCTTTTCACCCTCTGTCTGAAACCAGAGCCCAGTCTGGCTCTGTTGTGATTGGTCCCTTAGAGGTTGTTCCGCCCTTCAGCCTATCACATATAAGGTTTTGTATACACTGGCTAATAAAAACGCTAGTGTTACATAGTGATGTCACGATGTTCCGGAAGTTAACAAATCAGTCCTACTTTGGGATTTTAGCCTTTGCATTTAATTGGACAAAAAACAATGTAACACACTACAGGAAAGGAAAAAAGCATAAAAAGGGCCTCTTTAAAATTAAATAAATTCTGGCAAGTATTTCAAGTTATTTTCAAATTATGTCAGAAAATGTTGTGTTTTTTCACGGTGTCTCGACCTCTGACACCCCTATGACACTCATGTTCTCTTGTTAAGTCAAGGTACATCAACTAACTTCCCTTTTACATTTTATAGCAAATTATCACACTCTCAAGACTGTTATCTATTAATAATTTGCAGAACAAACTCCTGTGCAGTGTGATCTCACCGTGTCCTGACAGCTTTCCGGAGCAGACTGAGTCACTGCAGGGTTTGAGGTCAGCCTCTGCACACACACACAGTCCAGTTACATTTAGTCAAAAAGCATGTTACGGTTACATTAATGCTCACGTTTCCAGGACACAAACCTATCAACACCTGTACAATGTAATTTAATGCATGCATAACACTTTGTAAGTTGCCTGTTCATCACCCCAGGTCGCTTGTTGGGGTGAAAAAACAAGTTCAACTCTAATCCAATCCGTCTTTTCATGACAGAAGGTAATCAAATGAAACAATAAATACTGATGCTTGAATGCTTATAATGCATCGTTGGTGGATTTGACTGTACTTCATTGTATGGTTTACTCACACATCAATTATTCAGTTTGAATTAATCAATTGATTTTTGTTGCTGTAACCACTTTTAGTCAATCCATTGCATGACCCATTGTTCTCTTTTAACAATTGTACAGACCCAAAACATTCAGTGGTTTATCACTCTTTTTAAATATAGTTTAAATGTTGCACGAAATCAGTTTTTGAACTCACGATGTGGTCATCCATTTGTGTTTCGTTAGCTGAAAAGACAGAGAAGATTTTTGTTTCCTTCGTGAGCATTTTGGGTTATCAGAACTTTTTGTGGATAAAATTATCTGTGAATGTAATCACCTTTAGATTTCCTCCATCCCACAACTGCAACAACTATTATCAAAAGTGCTGCCAAACCCACTGCAACAACGATGTACAACCACACACCTGAAATATAAACAAAACGTTGTTTTCCTATTAAATCAACTGTATAATCGTATAAGAGTAATATATCACATAATAAGTGATTTTCCTACTTTAACATTTTACACAAAGGTTATTAGATACCGTTGTTCAGGGGCGGTTCTAGGGGGGGGGCAGGGGGGACCAGTGACCTCTGACCCCCCTGTGGCCCCCCTAACAAGGAAACGTTTTTTTTTGTTTGTTTTTAAATGTATATTTTCTGGTACTCGGTTTGCCAAAAACCGCAGGATTTTGTTGCTGTAATGTGAGATTGTGCAGACACCCTTATGTAAAGTAGAGATGTAACTGTTCATTGCCTTTATTTTTATATAAATATGGTGTTAGTGCAAACATTGCACTATAACTTAAGCTGAATCTAACAGTAATAACTATAAGATCTATCTGAAATAAATAAGTGTACTGAAACAAATACCAATAACTGTATTGCATTGTTTTCTTATGCGCAATTACTTCATACTGTCTAGTTCTCTTATTCGTCCTGCATTTATTGTGCCCTCCTCAGAAAATAACTGGCCCCCCAGTGGCCCCCCCAGTCAAATTGGTCTAGAACCGCCAGTGCCGTTGTTACCTGACGTTTCATTTGCATAATCCTTTTCATTAGTCTCAGTTGTTGCTATTTAGAAAAACAGACATAACCCAACACACACTTTCAGGTGATATTTCTTCCATCAGCAGTAAATAAATGCAAAGAATTGTGTTAAAAAAACTACAAATCAATTAAATAAACAATTGTATTTGCTTTTTTCATCAGTACTATGTGATTTTAAACATATAGCACGTTTTCTCACTATTGAAGGTAAACACTTTTCTCGTGTAGCCATCAGTCACGTTACACTTCAACAAATCATGTTTTTTCGATGTGTAAATAAAATGTGAAGTCTTAAGGCAGAGGAGGAAGTAACTTAAACATCTCATCATGTTCTCACCTGAGGACTGAGGGCTGAAGAGAAACTGATGTTCTTCTCCTGTGAGCTCATCAGTTACTTCACAAGTAAACAACTTAGACCTTGGTGTGTAACTAAAATGAGAAGTCAGAAATGTCACAGAGGCAGAGCAGGAAGACTGGGATGTCTTTATCTCTCTGTGATCTTTATCCACATCTTGACCCTGAAGCAGCCACTTCACTGAGAGTCTACACTCTACATATGACACTACAGAGCAGCGTAACGTCACCTCATAATTCTCCTGATGTTCAGTCACTGAAGATGGAGATAAACAACAAGAGTCAAATTAACTTCATCACTGTAATAATAATTATTGTAATGTTTTAGAGTATTGTTCAATAGACACAGTTTGAAAACACTATGATGTAAATACTCACTGTTAACAACAGACAGATAAACACGAGAGTCTGAACCTTGTTGTTCTCCTAATCTGTACTGTCTGCAGAAGTAATGACCAGCATCCTCCTCAGTGACCTTCTTTATAACCAGAGAACATGTATCCGTAAAAATTAGTCTGTCTGCTTTAGCTTTGGCTCCTTGGTGAATCAGCCCACCTTCAGCCAGCATTGCTGTTGATTCTCTTGTTAAATTACTAAAGAGCCATGTCGTTTCCTCACAGTTCCCCATTGCATTGTCACAAGGCAAAGTGACTTCAACTCCTTCTTTGACAATGAAATGCTGTTTGGTTGCTACTCCTGAGAAGACTGTTTAGAGTTTTGAGAGGTCCTGATAATTTATTCCGGTAAATTACTCTGACCTCCTAATTGACCTTTCCGAAGATTATTGAGTCTATGTAAGTTTGCTGCTTGGCTCAGATCCACCAACGTCAGCAAGATCTCACCTCTTCCTAACCCCCCCGAAGAACCAGGTTCAATTAACTGCTGTTTCAATTCAGACAACTCTTTTTAATCTGTTTAAGCGATCCCGAAGGATTTTGATATCAGTAAATGGAGTGTGCTCCTACCTAAGTGTGTGTGGCAGGGTGCAATCTTACCTTTGACGCAGGAGAGGAGAGCACAGGTGTCTTTTAAAGGATCCCAATCCAACAGGTGGGATTCAGTTTATTTGAAGAAAAATAGGTCCAAACTAATACAGGGTTTTTACCTTCTCTCTCACAACATTATAATCATACTAACAACAAACCGTGCTGTGATCATGTTCAAATGAAACTTTAATTCACAGTCTTACATTTATTACCAAAATGTTTTAATTCCAACTGCCCATTTCAGTTGTGACATTTTAAAATTCTCCCGATATAATTTAGAGGTATTTCCTCGTAAAAAGACCGGTGACAATAAAAAGCGCATTCAACTTTTTCATTTTCACCAACTCAATTCACATCAGTTTCATACCGTTTTTTCCGACACAGACGGCGGGTATAACACTCAAAAACCCATACCTGTCCGCAAAATTCGGGGGACAAGATTTCCCCACAGGTCGCGGTATTTATAAAGGTTCATACACTTTTTCCGACACAGACGGCGGATTAACACTCAAAAACCCATACCTGTCCGCAAAATTCGGGGGACAAGATTTCCCCACAGGTCGCGGTATTTATAAAGGTTCATACACACATCTCTCATCAAATCATTCCACTCAGCCAACAACCAATAAATTCGAGAGATATTTACCCCGTCTGGAAGGACATTACCGAGAGCTATTAACCCAGCTCTGAAGCACACAGCCTACCCGGAGAGAGTCTACCAGGGGTCACCCCCCCCTCTCTCGCGCTCTCTCAAAAAACCAGTCTCTTTATGCTAAAAAAACTGGATCCTAAACCCAAAAAAACAAACTCCTCCTCTTCACCCATTTGTGAAGAACTGCGCATGTCCTATAATGTACAAGGCTGAACATGCCTCAACATGTTCCATAGCTGTTATGGGATAAGACACCCTTTCATATGAGGTAAAAAGGACATGAACTCTCTTTGGCCTCTAATGTTTCTCCCCTTAGTGTGAAGCCCCCCCTTCCTGTGGTCTGCTGCCAGAGGAGAGGAAGAAAATTCAACCTAAACAAACCACTTTGTTTTGTTTATACTGTAACTATAGAAAACCTAAAATATGAAGCATTTTCATTGTGGGTTATACAAGAATATAATTGATTATATTTGATTATAACTAACTTTTGTTTTTAAGTATTAAACATATTATGAAAAACTCTCAACACCCTCTTTTCAAAACGCAAAGTTCTCAAATAGCAACAGAAAAAATTGTAAGCATAGATACATATTCAAAAACCGTCAAGAAGCATTCTCATTATGGGTTTATACAAGAATATGATTGATCATGTATGATTTATAATTAACTTTCGTTTTTTAAGTATTCACTTCATACCATGATCTCAATTAACTTTCGTTTTAAGTATTCACTTCATATGAAGATCTCAACAAGACAAAGACAGAGAAATAACTTTAAATAAATATGGAAAGTGGACTGTAGTTAAAAAGGGCTTTTCTGTAGCGAGCACTTAAAGTATTTTACAACACATTCACACGAGACAAGAATACAAGGAGGTCCGATATCTTTCCCTTGATTGTCCGATAGATGGACAATAGCTCCTGAGACAATTTTCCCAATAACAGTGCAATTTGAGCAAATAAAATAGATGATTGTCCAATAAAAACACTATGGTCTGTTAAATGGAGGTTAGATAATGAATGACATAAGTAGAATTGGAAAATAAAGTGTGTGATGTCACCTATCTATACATATTATAAACATCCTTACCTGTAATCTGAAGCAGTAAAAACATCATTTGAATCCATCTGATTTCAGCCATCGTGATTCTCGGTCTCTCTTGCTCGCACTTTCTCAACTGTGAACGCCGACTTGAGAAATACATCTTCTTCCTATTAGGTGTGAACTTCCTCATGAGGACACTCTTCTCTCCATATGAGGAGGTATTTCATATTTCTGATGGCGTATAACTAAAGCAATTTGTGCTCCGAGCTTAAAAAGTGAATAAAACGACATTTCTGTAAATAATACATCATTATTATTATTGTTAATAGCTATGAGTACTAGACATTTTTTGTATAAGTTATTTTCATTTATTTCATTTTTAAACGTTATATTTATTGTTACAGTAAGTTGTATTTCTGATAGTAATAATTATTATAAATATTGGTATACTATTGTTAATAGCAATGAGTATTACAACATTGTATAATTCAAGTTATTTCTGTTTTATTTGGAAAGAAACTTGACAAGAATACAAAAAAAAGCAGAAACCCTGAAAGGTAACACTAGGTCACTGAGTTCAGTAAATTGCCTGACATCAAGTCAACAAAGGAACATATCATATATATTATACACATTTTCGTATAGAGAGGCGAAGTCCCGCCCATCGACTTCCGACCCATGGGACCTTATTTCGGAAAAAGTATGCATTGAAGTCAATGGGGAGAGAAAATGTATCTTTCGATCCCGTTTGAATTGTGCCATGAATTACACACATGATGTTTGTCAAACTTAAAAAATAATTTCCATGTCAAAAAAGTCACAGTTTGTCGTAAAAAATAAGCAACTAGAAAGACTACAAATCCCAGAGTCCCGGTCCCGCATGCTGGCTCTCACAGAACCGACTAACTCCCCTTGTGTGTATGCACAGCTCTCAACGCGCCCAGACTTGGAGTGATTTTCTCCTCTTTTAATACTTTCCGCCTCATTCTAAGAGAAAGAAGTGAAATGTTCCAACGTGACGGCCGTCTTGGTGTGTGGTGCGAGACGGGAGATGTAGTTCATTGAGCGGTTTCACACAAACAAAGCGTTACTTCATAGTTTTACGACACATTTATATATTTTTTACTTATCTTTTAAATTGACAAACATCATATGTGTAATTCGTGGCACAATTCAAACGGGATCAAAAGATAATCTTTCTCTCCCCATTGACTTCAATGCATACTTTTTCTGAAATAAGGTCGCATGGAGCTCCACTGGAAAGGGAGGGACTCTCTATAAGAAAACAACACATATCTGACTCCACATCTACTTTCTACATTCTGAAACAGCCTCCTGGGCAGAAAGGCTTCTTACAGCAATACATCCTGTAAATGTTCATAAAAATAGATGTAACATAAAAATAAAGTGATTATATGTTAATTTAATAACCCAAAAAAGCTACTTTCATATTTACACACTAACAATAACAACCATACAGTA